TTTGGGCTTGTCAGAATATTTTCCGTATTTCACTTAGAGTAATATCGAGAAGACAGTTCAGGAAGTGAGTGTCGTTTCAGGTATGGCTGGCATGGAAATGCTTGCACCGGCTGGATTGCCAGTATCACAAGCAGCGGCTCCATCGCATCTTCATCCACACGCTGCAGCAATGATGCAGCATGCAGCCGCGACACATCCTGCCGCTGCAGCTGCTGCCGCTGCTGCTGCTGCTGCTGCCGCTGCAAACAGTGGTCAGTTTTCCCCTTTATTAAATGAGCGAAAAAATAATTATGAGTTTAGTAGGGAGCGTGTTCTTCATGCCATGGGTAGTGTTTTTGGTATCGCCGCAGTATAAAGTATAGTGTAAGTTTTTAGTAAAAAAAGATGTGTCGCAAGCAAATGCATCGTGCTAACTCGGAACCTGAGAAGCTAGAGGATTGGAATTTTAAGTGGATAGTCCCCATCCAAATGGATATTAATGAGCTCACACCCAGACACCGGGTATGCGTGGAACCCAAGTACGGGCCCGTGAAAGTTTTTTTCGGATAAGCTGCTAACTGGGGAGCCAGGAAAGCTAGAAAGCTGAAATTTTAAAGGAGTGTTCCCTGACAGTTCTGGCGGTGAGTCATAATTTGTTTGGCTAGAAGCATTTGCCGGAAAACCAGTGCCGATAGCGACAAAAACTGTGGGGAACTATGAAAAAAACGCATCTTTGCACGGACAGCCCGTGCGTTGGCCAATTATTATGTTTGGGTGAGACTTCGGTTGTCGCACACAGGCTTACCAGCTTTAGTTCAGCATCAAGTTTCTTACTGGGCATCGTAAGCCTATTCATGACCCCCGCCCCTTTTTTCACTTTTTTACCTTCAAAGTCCCAGCTCGCTTGTAATTAATATCCCCGTTCTCTTTCCTCTTTCGCTGCCCCCGTCATTCCTCCTTCTGCCCATTTGTGTCTCCACTCCGCCATTTGAGAAGGCCCCACCACAATCATCGCAACTCGCCCCCCAGCTTGGCTTAGGCGTGTTTCCGCTTTATTCATGAAAATGCATATTGTGGAGGTGCATGTCTGTGTATTTCGACTTATTTCGGCTTCCAAGATCTAAAACTGCCTTGAAATTTAAGTTTTGACAGCAGCCGAGCATCGTGGGTGGGTCGGCAAATGTCCTCTTCCGGTGTTCGGACGCTCAGGAGCTTTGGTGAGGGAACGTTTTAGAGAACCAGATAAACTAGAAGACGGAAATTTTGCAAGGATTTTCCCAGTCCATGTACGATCCAAAAACCGTAAATTTAGCGTTCTCGTACACAAATGCGTTTAAAGTAATTCGTCGGGGAATGTCGAGCTAGAAGGCTAAAATTTTGTTTAAATGACCTTTGCCCGTGTGCGGCCCAAAGAAATTGAACTCAGTTCTGAGGCATGCCTATTGTACAAGTTCATTTCAAGGAGGGACAGTGTTGGTATCTAACTGGAGGGCCGAACTGAGCAGAAAGCTTTAATTTTACGAGGATGTTTATGCTGTCCAGTTGTAAGCCGGCAAACCCAGAAATCAGTTTTTACGCGCACTTACGTCTCGCATGTAAGTGCATCAAACATCCATTTGCAAAATTGTTGGTGTTCTTCTCTCGTATTAGCCAGATTTGCAGGAAGACGCAGAATTCATGTGGCCCCAGAGTGCAATGCCGCCTGTTCAGTAGATGGGTTTCTCCCTCGAATTTGGCAAAAAAGAAAAGACCAGCAAAAACGTATGTAATATGAGTGCACACACGTGTCAGTTTATGAAGCAGTGAATGTTCTTGCCACCAGGGCTCTGCTGCACCAAATTGTGCGTGTACGCGTGATCGCACCGGCAAACTCAGTGCTCCCCGATTTTATTTTTCACTATGCGGACCATTGTAACTGAATTTCTGCAGGTGATTTACAACTGCAGCAGCTGTTGGCAATGTCAGCGGCGGCGCAGGCTCAGCGACCGTTCCTGGAGCAGAATCCACTGGTGCAAATGACCATGATGAATCCATTTAACAACGATTTAGCTTCCCGAATGGTGAATCCCGGCCCGTTGAATTCTGATATGATGCGACGGCTACAGCAGGAGGGTGGCTTTGCTGCTGCTCAGAGGCCATAGAAATACTATCTGTAGCGTTTTTGCGTACGCAGCGAAACGAGCCACTTGAAATTCCTCTTACTCCGGTTTTTGTGGAGTTTCATCAATGTGAAGGGGTTGTGGGAACAGCTGCGCGCAGTGGATATGGAAGTATATGCTCGACGGGAAGCAGTCCGTGCATAGATGTTTGCTTCTGTCGTGTATTTGCCGGAGTGTTAATCAGCTGTGATCAGTGTGAGTGAGGCGCAGTTGATTAGTGCCTTCAACTTCCTAGAAAAGTTCATTCTGTACGTCTCTCGACTGTGCTGCTTCTCGCTCTTGCAGCAGTAACTTAGACGAAGCGCTTTCTTATTTCAACGTTTGTAAAATATTCGGTTTTTGCGTTTGTCAATTATAGTTTTTATCGATATGCAAGAGTGTCGGATGTGGACTTGTATCAGAAGAGCGGGACGGGGAGGTGCATGGGGGGAAAGAGCTGGTGGTTCGTGACAGCGCTGTCGGCTGATGGTCTTTCATTTTCCGTACTGTCGTAGATTTTTCCGTTAAGTCTAGATCTTTGAGCATGTATGTCCATGAGTCGGAATATAAAAAGAGATTTAATAAGTGATTTAGTTTCTGCACTACTGTAGTTGATCAACGACAAATTGTGGTCTC